AAAACTTTTTTTTTTTTCAATGACTCCTCCTAGATGAGAACATTATCATCCCCATTTTGCAGATGAAGAAACTGAGGCTCCTAGAAGTTAATTAATGTGCCCAGGGCACACAACAGGGCTGGTTCTAGGGTGAGGTGAATTCCATTCAAAATTTAAGAGAGCCCACAAATATCAGTAATTAAGAGACACAAGATTTTAATACGATAGTATAAAGAATCTCAACTAATGCAAAAGATGTGTGATGAACTAAACATCACAATTTCAAATAAAGACAGTATCAGACTCTGCCCTTACATGACACTGCCTCTCTTGTTTCACCCTAATCCTGGCCCTAGTCCCAATAAAACTTTATTTACAAGAACAGGTGGCCACTGTTGTTGTTGCCCGTTTCTGTTTTGAGGATGGCTGCTTTTGCCAAGCCAGCTGGGCACCTGGCTAAGTGCCTCATGAAGACCACCTTTCACAGGTATCTGTTGATAATTGGTCAGCTCCACTTTGCAAAAGGGAAACTGAGGCAGGGAAAAGCCCAAAGTCCCAAGACGGCATCCGTGTTCTCGCTTTCACTGGGACTCCCACTGTCTCTGCCGTGGCAGGTTCCCTTGGCTACCCCACTGTTGGACCTAGGCCTTACAGTATCTTCTCAGGCTGGAGGAGACCCTAGGGAGGGCCCTGTTGCCTTTGAGGTTCTTACAGGCTCCTACCAAATAACAATGGCCAGATTGAGCACATAAACATACAGGACACCCTGACAACACTTGTTTTTCGCATACACATTTTAAAATTGACATATAATTTGCACACCATAAAATACATCTTTTTATTTTTTTAAATTTATTTTTAAAGATTTTATTTATTTGACAGAGAGAGACACAGCGAGAGAGGGAACACAAGCAGGGGGAGTGGGAGAGGGAGAAGCAGGCTTCCCGCGGAGCAGGGAGCCCGATGCGGGGCTCGATCCCAGGACCCTGGGATCATGACCTGAGCCGAAGGCAGACGCTTAACGACTGAGCCACCCAGGCACCCCTTATTTATTTATTTTAAATGTACCTTTTTATTCTATTGTATATAGTATACAATGGAATATTATACAGCCATCAAAAAATGAAATCTTGCCATTTGCAACGACGTGGATGGAACTAGAGGGTATTATGCTAAGCTAAACAAGTCAATCAGAGAAAGACAATTGTCATATGATCTCACTGATATGTGGAATTTGAGAAACAAGACAGGATCATAGGGGAAGGGAGGGAAAAATGAAACAAGACGAATCCAGAGAGGGAGACACACCATAAGAGACTCTTAATCTCGGGAAACAAACTGAGGGTTGCTGGAGTGGAGGAGGGATGGGGTGGCTGGATAATGGACACTGGGGAGGGTATGTGCTATGGTGAGCACTGTGAATTGTGTAAGACTGATGAATCACAAGGGTACCTGGGTGGCTCAGTTGTTAAGCATCTGCCTTCGGCTCAGGTCATGATCCCAGGGTCCTGGGTTCCAGCCCCGCGTTGGACTCCCTGCTCCACGGGAAGCCTGCTTCTCCCTCTCCCACTCTCCCTGCTTGTGTTCCCTCTCTCGCTGTGTCTCTCTCTGTCAAATAAATAAATAAATAAAATCTTTAAAAAAAGAAAAAAGACTGATGAATCACAGACCTGTACCCCTGAAACAAGTAATACATTATATGTTAATAAAAAGTAAAAATAAATAAAAATAAAGTGTACCTCTTAGAAGAATACCATTCAGTGGTTTTTAACATATTCTCAAAGTTGTGTAATCATCACCACTATCTTTTTTTTTTTATAGATTTTATTTATTTATTTGAGAGAGAGAGAATGAGAGACAGAGAGCATGAGAGGGAAGAGGATCAGAGGGAGAGGCAGACCCCCCACTGAGCAGGGAGCCCGATGTGGGACTCGATCCCGGGACTCCAGGATCATGACCTGAGCCGAAGGCAGTCGCTCAACCAACTGAGCCACCCAGGTGCCCCTCATCACCACTATCTAATCCCAGAACATTTCATCAACCCTAAAAGAAAACCTTTACCCATGAGCAGTCACCATCCTCCCTCTCCAGCCCCTGGCAACCACCAATCTGCTTTCTGTCTGTATGGGTTTGTCTGTTCTGGACATTTCATATACATGGAATCATACAACACGTGGCCTTTTGTGTCTGGCTTCTTTCGCTCAGTACGTTTTCAAGGTTCATCCATGTCATAGCTTGAATCAGTGCTTCATTCCTTTTTTCTGGCTGAATAACATTCCATTGTGTGGGTGGACCACATTTTGTTTCTTCATTCATCTGTTAATGGACAGTTGAGTTTTCCCACTTTTTGGCTATTGTGAATAGTGCTGCTATGAACATTCACACACAAGTTATTGTGTGGACATATGCTTTCAGTGCTCTTGGGTTTACACTTAGGAGTAGAATTCCTGGCTCATATGGTAACTCTTTATTTCAGACTTTTTCAAAAACTGCCAGACTGTTATGGGCAGTCCAAAGCAACCGCTGTCATGGGCTGAGTAGCATTCTTCCAAAACTTGTATGTTGAAATCCTCACCATCCGTACTTCAGAATGTGGCTATATTTGGAGATAGGGCCTTTATGGGTTTTTTAAAAAATATATTTTATTTATTTATTTGAGAGAGAGCACAAGGGGGTGGGGCAGAGGGAGAGGGAGAAGCATTTATGTATTTATTTGGGAGAGAGAGCACGAGTCGGGGGGTGGGTGGTGGGCAGAGGGAGTAGGAGAAGCAGACTTCCCGCTGAGCAGGGAGCCCGATGCGGGGCTCGATCCCAGGACCCTGAGATGGTGACCTGAACCGAAGGCAGACGCTTAACCAACTGAACCACCCAGGTGCCCAGAGATAGGACCTTCAAAGAGGTAAGTAAGGTAAAATGAGGTTATTTGGGTGGATCCTAGTCCATTATATGGTGTCTTTATAAGAAGAGATGAGGACACAGACCCGCACAGAAGGAAGATCATGTGAACATATAGGAAGACGCCATTTGCAAGCCAGGGAGAAAGCCCCAGAAGAAACCAAACCTACCAACATCTTGATCTCGGACTCCTAGCCTCCAGAACTGTAAGGAAATACATTTCTTTTTTTTTTTTAAGACTTTATTTATTTATTTGAGAGAGAGAGAATGAGAGACAGAAAGCAGGAGAGGGAGGAGGGTCAGAGGGAGAAGCAGACTCCCAACCGAGCAGGGAGCCCGATGCGGGACTCGATCCCAGGACTCCAGGACCATGACCTGAGCCGAAGGCAGTCGCTTAACCAACTGAGCCACCCAGGCGCCCCAGGAAATACATTTCTTATTGAAGCTACTCAGTGTCTTTGTTGCGGCTACCCTAGCAAACTAGTGCAGCCACCCAGTTAAGTTTAATTTCAGATAAACAATGAATACTTTTCCAGTATATGTCCCATGCAATCTTTGGCAAACGGATATGCTAAAAACTTATGTGTTGTTTATCCGAAACTCTAATTTAATTGGGCATGTTCTATCTGGCAACCCTTTGATAAATGGACTTCAGGCTGTAGCTTGCCTACCCCAAGCGATGGGAAGCTCACACCTTAGAGTGACCAATGGCTCATCTGTGGTTTGTTCTGACCAAAAGTTCTCCTTGAGTCCAAACTGGGGTGGACATGTGACCTAGAGACATTCTTTTTTTGAAGGTTTTATTTATTCATTTGAGAGAGAGGGAACACAAGCAGGAGGCAGAGGGAGAGGGAGAAGCAGACTGCCCGCTGAGCCAGGAGCCCTACGTGGGGCTCGATCCCAGGACCTAGAGATCATGACCTGAGCCGAAGGCAGATGCTTAACTATCTGAACCACCCAGGGGCCCCTAGAGACGTTCATCCACCTCAGCCACTGTGATTGGTTCATGGAGGACAGGTAACTCAAGTTCAGCCAATCAGTCTTCCTTGAGGACTTGGGCTGGGATCCCAGGAATAGACAGGTTTCCTGGACCAGAGGTGGTTGGACCAGGCAAATGGGGAACTGCCGGAGGGGGAGACACCAGAGAGGTATCAAATGCCCCTGCTCCATCTGGAGAACTACATAGAACTTCCAAGATGACACCTTCAATGGGTAACAGGAACATTTACTGACTGACTGAATGAATGAGTGAATCAATGAGTGAAATTTTCCCATGGTGAACACCTATGCATCCTTCAAAACCCACTTCAAATTTTCTTTGAGAAATATCAGAGAACACTTACTGAATGAATAAATTTTTTCCTGTGAACTTCTACGCATCCATCAAAACCCTCTTCAAATGTCTCTACGGGGCAACAGGGAGTGTGATTGTTGAATGAATATGAGAGTTTATTTTCTTGATAAACTTCTGTGTATTTTTTTTAAAGATTTTATTTATTTATTTGACAGAGAGAGACATAGAGAGAGAGGGAACACAAGCAGGGGGAGTGGGGGAGGGAGAAGCAGGCTTCCTGAGGAGCAGGGAGCCCAATATGGGGCTCGATCCCAGGACCCTGGGATCATGACCTGAGCAGAAGGCAGATGCTTAATCAACTGAGCCATCCAGGAGCCCCAACCTACTGTGTATTCTTTTTTTTTTTTTTAACATTTTATTTATTTATGTATCTGAGAGAGAGAGCAGTGGGAGGAGCAGAGGGAGAGGGACAAGAAGACTCCATGCCCAGCGCAGCGCTGGGCATGGGGCTTGATTCCACGACCCCGAGATCACCACTGAGCCGAAATCAAGAGTCAGATGCTCAACCGACTGAGCCACCCAGGTGCCCCTTCTGTGCATTCTTTAAAACATCTTCGGGGCGCCTGGGTGGCTCAGTCATTAAACATCTGCCTTCGGCTCAGGTCATGATCCCAGGGTCCTGGGATCGAGCCCCGCATCGGGCTCCCTGCTCCGTGGGCAGCCTACTTCTCCCTCTCCCACTCCCCCTGCTTGTGTTCCCTCTCTCACTGTGTCTCTCTCTGTCAAATAAATAAATAAATAAAATCTTAAAAAAAAAATAAAACATCCTCAAATGATCCTCTGGAGGCATCAGAAAGTTCTGGTTGAATGAATGAAAAATGTTCTTATTGGTGAATGATGCCTACAAATGTGTTTGATAAACAAACTAACAGATTTTTGCCTTGCAAACTGCTATTTACCCTTCAACATTCTCCTTAGATGCCCTCCGGGGGCATTAGGGTCTCGTGGCCACTTGGAAAGAAGCTCAGCCCTCCTCGACTACAGGTCACTCACCCTGGAAGAAAGACGGAAACCGAGGGGGTGGGGAAATTCTGTGGTCCCTCCTGTCACGATTTCCATTTCCGGGGGGCCCCTTTTAACCCAGTCCTTCCTGCCTCCCCCTCCCCTCAGCTAGTGAAGCATCTGAAAGTGGGGCAGCCCTAGGGGCATATCCCAGCTGGGTTTCTGGGGCAGCAGGAAGGGGCCCATAAAGGCACCCTGAGGGCTTCCTGGAGTAGGGGGCAAGTAGGCCACGGGCTTCCTGGAGTAGGGGGCAGGCAGGCCAATCTGGGTGTGCAGATTTGGCATGGGGAAGGTGAAGTGTAGTGAACCTCGGGGCAAGCTTCAGATCCCGACTGATAAGGGTAGAAACACCACCTCACCTGCTCACACACCTGCTATGGCTCCCCAGTGCCCTTGGGAGAAAGCCCAGCCCTTCAACCTGGCTCTTGAGGTCCTTGGCTGCCTTAGCACCTTCGTCTCTCCTGTGGAGCCCCAGACCTGCCATGTTCATCTTGATGTTCCCCAAAGCATCCCCTGAACTTTTGCTTCTGCTGTGCCCTCAGCCAGGAATGCTCTTTCCATAAATGAGTTCAAGAGCCCCCTTCTCTGGGCATCCCTCTGAACTCCCCCTTGGGACATCCCCAGCCTCTGCCCCTCCCTGCACCCAGCCCTGATGCCAAGGAGCTGGGGGCATCTGTGTTCAGCTCTGCCCCCTCCTCCATTTTTCTCCCTCCCTCAGTGTCTTTCCAGTAGCTGCTCTGACTTTGGGGGGGGGCTGGGAAAGAGCTGCTAAGGCCACTGGGGGCCCCCCAAAATGATTAATTATACCGGCTGCCTGGTGGGCATTACCTGCCAGGAGCCCAGCCCTCCTTTATCCTCACGATCGCCTATTTTGCAGATGGGGTAGCTGAGGCCTGGAGGGGCCAACCTTGGTGGTGGGGCAGCCCTGGGGCATGAGCCTTACTCCCGAGATGCAAAGCTCAGCCTCGCTGGGGAGGAGGGGGGAGCCCTCTGTCTGAATCCATCTCTTCATGTGCAGCTGGGGACTCGAGGGGTCTGGGCACTTCAGGGCTCAGTTTCTCCATCTGTGAAATGGGACACATAGATGGTGTCTCTTGGGGTAGGGGTCTCAGGATCTTCGAGAGGAGGCCAAGGGTTTGGCCCTATCTCTAACCATCTCTTCCATTTTTCTTTATGTTTCTCTCAATCTGTCTCTATCTCTGTCTCTGTCTCTCTCTCTCTGTCTCTGCCCTTCCCCCAGGCCTCACACACCAGTTCTGCAGCCCACTCCACCCTCTGGCCTGGCCTGGGCCCTACTCCCAGTCAAGGCTGCTCTGTGCAGGGTCACGGGGTCCCCGTCCCCACTGTGCCAGGCCTGGGACACTGCCTCTTTGTTCCCATGGCTCTGACCTCATGGCCTTCTGGGCGCCTGACCCTGACTGGCCCAGCTGCCCCCGGGGACAGGGCTCCTCTGAGACTGGGCTTTCTCCCAGCCCACCTGAGCCCCAGTCCCCAGATGCTCTTCCAGAAGAGACCCCCACCATGCTCCTCAGTCCCCTTGTGCTCCATGAACATTTTCTTACAGGTGAAAATCACATAAAATTAACCATTTAAAAAGCTACAATACAGTGGCATTTAGAACTTTGACTATGTTCTGCAACCATCACCTCTGTCCAGTTCCAGAACATTCTCATCACCCCAAAGGGACACTCGTTCCCATTAGCAGTCACTCCCCAACCCCCATCTGCCACCCCCTGGCAACCACTCATCTTTCCGTCTCTTTGAATTTGCCGGTTCTTGACATTTCATGTACCTGGGATCGTACAACATGTGAGCTGTTGTGTCTCGCTTCTCTCACTCAGCATGACGTTTTTGAGGTTCATCCACTTTGTAGCATGAATCAGTCCTTCTCCATGGACATTTTGGGCCTTTGTAGAAAGTGGGGAGAAAGATTCAGAAACTGAGACAGCCAGATGCCAAGAAACAGATGCAGAGAAGAGACAAAGCTTAGTCTGAAGGAAGCAAAGGGGCTCTTCAGGAGCTGGGACCCAGGGTGCCCTGGGGCTGGAGTTTGGGAAACGGGGAAGGGGGCATTTGGGGAGGGGGCAGTGGAGAGCAAACACTTCATAACGATTTGTTGGGAGAGTGAACGCAGACATAGGAGAACACCGGGCTCCCATTTGGTACCTAAGTCTCAGAAGTCAGCTAGAGAGGGCTGGAGACCAAGGCAAGGGCTCAGAGCAACAGGCTACTCATGGGGCTGGCACCTTCTGTCCAGCTAGGGCTTGGGCCAGCAGAATAGACCCCCAGATCTGTGGCCCTGGGTCAGACTTGCCCCACGGGTGGGTTTGTGGCCGGGATGAGGCCACCACCACCGAGCTGACTTCCTGGGTTTCTCTTTCAGTTTGACTTGCGCCAGGAGGGGCCATGATACCTAACTTTTTTTTTTTTTTTTAGTCTTTTAAGTCTTCTTTCTTACTCAGCTTCAACATGTTCAGGGGCGAGGACGGGGTGGCTGGCAGAAGTTCATCTGGTCCTGCAGGCCACTGCGTGGGCTCAATGGAGCAGGCGTGGGCCAGGCTGGTCCCCCTCCTTCTGCTCCTGCTCCTAGGGCGAGGCGGTGAGTGCCCCACCCTGACACCATGGCTCTTCTTGCTGGGCGGCATGTGTGTGGAGGGCTGTGGACCTGGGATCTGGGGTAGGTTCTGTGTCTCTGTGCCTCAGTCTTTCCCTCTTGTCAAATGGGAGATTGGCTTCTAGGGTCAGATTTGAGCATCTGCGTTCTGGTCTCGACTTTGTCTTCTGTGGAATGGGCTGAATCTCTGAATCTTTCCCACTTCCGGGAGTTCTGTGAGAAATGCTAGGAAAAAGATAAGGAGGGCCGCCTGAGTGGCTCAGTCAGTTGGGCGTCTGCCTTCGGCTCAGGTCATGATCCCAGAGTCCTGGGATCGAGCCCTGCATCGGGCTCCCTGCTCAACGGGGAGCCTGCTTCTTCCTTTCCCTCTGCCTGCCACTCGGCCTGCTTGTGCTCTCTCTCTCTGTCAAATGAATAAATAAAATTTTTAGGGCACCTGGGTTGGCTCAGTTGATGAAACATCTGCCTTTGGCTCAGATCATGATCCCAGGGTCCCAGGATCGAGTCCCACATCAGGCTCCCTGCTCGGCAGGGAGCCTGCTTCTTTCTACTGCTGCCTGCCGCTCCCCCTGCTTGTGCTCTCTCTCTCAAATAGGTAAATAAAATATTTAAAAATAAATAAATAAATAAATAACAAAATCTTTAAAAAAAGAAAAAGAAAAGGATAAGGAAAAGTATGTAGATAATTGATATACATGATAACTGATTATGTTTATAGTGTATATTACATTATTATATTAAATATATGCACATATTGTCTCTCCATCTCGTGGAATTGGATTGGAAGGAGTCCAGACCCCTGCAGATGACTGGGTTTGACCTCTAATTCCAGCTCTGCTGTTGCTGCTGTGTGACCTCGGGCCACTACTTTGCCTCTCTGTGCCTCAGTTTCCCTCTCCATAAACTGAGGATCAGCAAGGTTTCAGGGCCCTCAGGGGTCAGGCAGGGCTGGAGACCAGAGACTGGGAGGAGGACAGGGGATCCTAGGTTGCTTTGGAAGAGCAGCCTAAGAGGTTGATGAGTGGATGAATGAGAGGGTGAATGGATGGGTAGATGGGTGGATGGATGGAAGGGTGGATGGATAGATGGATGGATGGATGGATGGATGGATACTAGGACAGATGAATGCATGCATGCACGATGGGTGGATGGGTGGAAGGTTGGATGTGTGGATGGGTGGATGGATAGATAGATGGATGGATGGATGGATAGTAGGACAGATGAATGCATTCATGCACGATGGGTGGATGGGTGGAAGGTTGGATGTGTGGATGGGTGGGAGGCTAGGTGGGTGAATCCATAGATGGGAGAGCGGATGGGTGGATGGATGGTCGCTTGGCAAGCCCCCAGCCTGAGCCCCTTCCCCATGCAGTGAAAGACTGGGAATGTCATTATCTCTTCGTTGTCTTTGCAGCTGAAGCCTGCAGTACCAGTGGGTGCTGTTTTCAGGACCCGCCGTATCCGGATGCAGACTCAGGTCTGGGACAGTTCCCTGTTGTGGGGAGAGGTCATGCTGGGTTCTGACTGATCCTTTCCTAGCAGCTCCTCTCTTAGCTCCCTCCTGCCCAGCCAAAGATTCAGGCCCACCTGAGGTCTAGCCTACTGTCAGCCTACTTTCAGACAGCCTACTGTCCTGTCCTCACCAAGCTCGGGTGTCCTGGGGGACCCCACCAAGGGTCTGCCACTGAGCAGGCACTTCGTCCATTCTCTTGTGCAAGAACTATTTACTGAGCACCTACTGTGTGCAGACACAGTTCTAGGTGTGAAAGAATCAGCTGCAAGCCCAACTGACTTCCTGGGGTCACAGCCTAGTGTGGGAAGTGGATAAAAGACAAACAAACACACAGATAGCATACCAGAATGTGCTATGAGAAACCAGACAGAGGAAGGTGGGGGATGGAGGAGGGGTCTGCTTCAGGCTGGCTGGTGGTCAAGGAGGTGACACTGAAGGAGAAACTGGAATGTTAAGATCTGGGGGAAAAGCACTCCAGGCAGCTGGCACAGCATGTGCAAAGGCTCTGAGATGGGAGTGAGCCCTGTGTGTTTGAGGACTGGTGAGGAGGCTGGTGTGGGTGGAGCAGGGGGAGCAGGGGAGAAGGCAGGAGACAGGAGGCAAAGGCGCAGGGAGGGTGCTGGGAGTGGGCTGAGGCTGAGGTTGACACCGGATTACTTAAATGTCACAAAGATTCATCCTGAGCGCGCACCAGCAAGGAGGGCCCCCCTCCCCACTCTTGGTCCATTCTCAAACCTCTGGGATCTCCTCCAGGCTCGGCTTCAGGCCCCAAGGACCTGACCTGCTACCGGATAGTCAGCGCTGGTTATGAATGTTCCTGGAAGTATGAGGGCCCCACGGCTGGGGTCAGCCACTTCCTGAGGTGCTGGTGAGGACCCTGCCCCAGTCCCCAAACCCTCACACATCATCCCGCACTTGCTCCTGCCCCCATTCCCCTGCTCTCAGAGGTGTGATCTTAGCAGAGTCCTTGCTCTTCCTGGAGGCTGAGTGTCTCATGTGAGAAGGGAAGGTGAGGACTCTATTTGGGGGGGCTGTCAGCATAGGTGGGCATCCAGGTTGGGTGGCAATTAAGGTCCTTCTAGTCCTTCCTTCCTCCTCACCCGCTCACTCATTTGTCCATCCTTCCATCCATTCATTCATTTCTTCCTTCCGCCTGTGGCAGCCCATCTTGCAAGATTCTGGGGTCCCCCAAACCACTCAGGTGCAGGGCTGATCCCCATAGAGTCCCCAGGCTGGGGAGGGGGGAGTCAAAGGGACAGAAGAAGATGCTGGGATGTGATGTGCACCATCTGCTGGGGCTGCTGAGCCACCCCGCGGGTCCCTAGGACCCCAAACTCAGCACCAACACTCCCCTCGCGCAGCCTCAAGTCCGAGCACTGCTGCTACTTTGCTGCGGGCTCAGCCACCAGCCTGCAGTTCTCTGACCAGGACGGCGTAGCTGTGCTCCAGCTTGTCACGCTCTGGGTGGAATCTCGAGCCGAGAACCAGACGCAGAAGTCGCCTAAGATCACCCTGAAGCTTCATAGCGCAGGTCAGCACCCTGTTCTCCTCCTCCTCCCTGCTGCCCCTTCCTCACCCACAGACGCCTCTGGTTCCTGAGCCTAGACCTGTGCAGATTTGGGCCAGGGGCTTGATAATGCCAACGATTTTCCCATCAGACATCGTTGCGGGACATGGCAGAGTTTTTCACGGTCCCCTCGCCAATCCCCAGCTGCTGGATACTTCGGTTGCTTCTGGTTTCTCCCTGAAACTGTAATACTGCCAGGACCTTTTTGGGTCTTCAATATCTGTTTTCACGACGCAACCACGTACATATAACATCTAGAATTTGCACTCCTACTCTGCTACGCTGAGTCACAGGGTACATGAGCGAGGCCAGCAAAGTTTGCAGCTCCGGGCTGGAATTAGGATGAGGTGAGGGAGGAACCTGCCTTGGGCACGAAATTGTAAGGGGGTGCCAAAAAACTCAGTAGTCAACATAAGTAATTCTGTAAAGCAATATTTAAAAAAAAATCAAAATTAATGCCAAAAAATCCACGATGAACAAAATATCAAATTTTAAGATGAAGACAGGATCCAACCGTGTATTTGTACAGCCTTGTCTTTCTTGCCTCCCTGGAGTCCTGTCCCTGTCTCTGCCCTCATGGAGCCCAGATTCAAGTGGGAGTGATGAACAGGAATGATTATTACATATGAGGAGATACTGCTGGGAGGTCAAGGAGGCCTCCAGCTCAAGTTGAGCCTGGAAGGATAAAAAAGGATCCAACAAGAATAAAGTGTTGAGAAGTGTGTTCCAGGCAGAGGGCACAAGGGCACAGCAAGTGCAAAGGCCCTGAGGTAGAATCAGGCATGGTACGACCAAGATGCAGGAAGAATGATAGATGTTTCTCTTTAGGTCTGGGTCTAAAGAATTAGTAAGATTTCCCTAATAGTCCTCTTAAAAAAGTAGATTCAGTTAATTATCCTCGTCAGCAATTCACAAAAGTGCCTGTCTCACCAAAATGCTGCTACAAGGAGTGTTAGTCTTGAATCTTTGATCCATAGAATCCCAGGCTTAGATGGAACCTGTAAGGGTTTCCCTGATGCACATACTGGGGACTCGGTCGGTTATCCTGGGCTGGGTGGGGCAGATTTTCTGAAATTTTCAGGACCAATAACTTGCACATATGCTGGCTCCCCTCCCCAACCCCCATCTTTGCTCCCAGTTAAATATGACCCTCCGTCAGCCAGAGACATCACCGTGTCTGGGTCCGCGGGGCAGGTGCTCTTGAAGTGGGAGACCCCAGCCCGCCAGGATGGCGCCGAGGTGCAGTTCCGGCACAGGACAGCCGGCAGCCTGTGGAAGTTGGTGAGTTTATTCCCCAGGTCAGGAGAGAAAGCAGCCTTCTCCTCGGGGAACATGACCTCCAAATCAGTTTCACTATCTCTACATCCATCACCCTTCCTGCCTGGTCTCCACTCTTGCCCTGTAGCTAGCCTCTGGAGTCTCTTTGACACTCAGATCTCATCATGACCTCCTTTGCTCACACACCCTCCATTGCTCCCTATTACCTTCAGGAGGATCCTTTCCTCAGCTGGCCCCAGGTACCCTCACCCACCTTGTGTTTCCTCTGGCCCCCTCTGAATGGCCATCATTCTCCGCCCATGCCCTGCATTTCCAGACTGTGCCTTTGCCCATGCAGTCTCCTCCATCTGCACACCTTCTCCATCTGAGCTCATGAGAATCCAGCCCACCTTCAGGGTCCAGCTCAAGGGCCACCTCTCCAGGAAGCTGTCCTTCCACTCAGCTTCCTTCCTTCCTTCCTTCCTTCTTTCCTTTTCTTTTCTTCTTCTCCTTCTTCTTTTTCTTCTTCTTCTTCTTCTTCTTCTTCTTCTTCTTCTTCTTCTTCTTCTTCTTCTTCTTCTTCTTCTTCTCCTTCTTCTTCTTCCTTTTCTGAGATATAATTGACATATAACATTATATTGGTTTCAGGTGTACAACATCATTATTTGATATTTGTATATATTGTGAAATGATCCCAATTAGTCTAGCTACCTTCCGTCACCATCTGAAGTACAAACCTTATGTCTTGTAAGAACTTTTACGATCTACTCTCCTAGGAACTTCCAAGTACATCATATAGTGTTATGAACTATAGTCTCCATGTGGTACATGACATCCCTAGGACTTATTTATTTTATAACTGAAGTTTGTAACTTTTGATCCCCATTCCATCCACCCCCCAACCCCTGCCTCTGGCGACCACCAATCTGTTCTCCGTGTCTAAGAGTTCCATTCTGTTTTGCTTTAGATTCCACGTGTGCGAGAAATCCTATGGTATTTGTCTTTCTCTGACTTATTTCACTTAACATAATGCCCTCAAGGCCCATCCACATTGTCACAAATGGCAGGGTTTCCTTCTTTTATAGCTGAATAATATTCCATCTTATATATATATATATATATATATATTACATGTTCTTTTTCCATTCATCCGCCCCTGGACACTTAGGTTGCTTCTGTATCTCAGCTATTGTACATGATGCTGCAGTAAACATGGGGGCAGATATATCTTGAGTTAGTGTTTTCATTTCCAGAAAAAAGCCCAGAGGTGGAATGGCTGGATCATATTGTAGTTCTTTTTTTTTTTTTTTAAGATTTTATTTATTATTTATTTGACAGAGAGAGAGAGCACAAGTGGGGGAGCGTCAGGCAGAGGGAGAGGGAGAAGCAGGCTCCCCGCTGAGCAGGGAGCCTGATGCAGGGCTCCATCCCAGGACCCTGGGATCACGAAGGCAGATACTTAACCAACTGAGCCACCCAGGCGCCCCTGTCTTGTGTCTTTTTGATGATAGTCATTCAAACTGAGGTGATATCTCGTTGTGGTTTTGATTTGCACTTCCCTTATGATGAGTGATGTTGCACATGGTTTATCTACCTGTTGGTCATCTGTATGTCCTCCGTGGACCTTCATTCATTCCGCAGCTACCTTCTGCTGCCCCCTCTGTTGCCCTCACGCAGAGCAAGCGGGGCCTGTAAGAAACCTCAGCCCTTGGGGCGCCTGGGTGGCTCAGTCGTTAAGCGTCTGCCTTCGGCTCAGGTCATGATCCCGGGGTCCTGGGATCAAGTCCCGCATCGGGCTCCCTGCTTGGCGGGAAGCCTGCTTCTCCCTCTCCCACTCCCCCTGCTTGTGCTCCCTCTCGGGCTTTGTCTCTCTCTGTCAAATAAATAAATAAATTCTTTAAAAAAAAAAAAAAAAGAAACCTCAGCCCTTGCTTATTAGGCCCCAAGAAACCCTTAGATTGGGAGAAGACAGAGACCTCCAGCCTCTGAATTGTAGGGTCTCCTCCTCCCTCAGACAGGGAGCATCTTGAGGCCAGGGAGCCGCTCCAGCTTCAGCCTCATCTTCCCTCCCAATGTTGGGCCCCCCTGAGCCTCAGTGACCCCATCAGGTGAATGGGATCAGTTAGAGACAGGTGATATGGGACCCTTGCTGGGGAGGGGCATCTCTCTCTTTTTTATTTCCGGCCCCCTAAGCACACTCTGCTGTAGACCCTGCATCCCCCCCTTTGCAGAGGAGGGAACTGAAGCTCAGGATGTTGGGGGACCCCTCCACATCAAACAGGGCATGGGGGGCAGGCCGTGTCCTAAACCCGACTCTCCTGACCCCCAACACCACTGACATACAGGTTTTCCCTCCTAAAATAATTTTTGTAGGAAAGTACAGGATAATAATTTTGCCTCCTGAAATCTTTTAAGCAAAACTTTTACTTTGGGAATAATCTTAGATTTTCAGAAAAGTTCCAAGGAAGTAGCCAGCTCCCCTAGAAACGGCCCCCAGCCTCCCCACGTGCGAACATCTTACGTTCTTGAGTGCGTCTGTCCACAACGGAGACGAACATTGGCATGTTGCTAGGGACTAAACCAGAGATTATGCAGATATCCCCCGTTTTTCCACGCATGTCCTCTTTTTTTTTTTTTTTTAAGCAAATGTCCTCTTTCTGTTCCTGGATCTAATCCAAGCTCCCACATTGCGCTTAGAATAATTGTTTAAAATGGTTAAAGAGCTAATATTTTTTTCAAATTTTTTTTACCTTTTACCAAAAGGTAAAACTATGTATACATATATATGATCTGGTCCTAGGGCAACTGCGGACGTCAGGAGGATGCTGGCTTCGGTGAGAATAATAGTACCAACAACAGCGGCAGCATGCTAGCATTAATTGAGCACCCACTGTATGCCAGGCCCAGTGCTAAATTCTTTGTATGCTTGCTGGCCCGCCCTGTAGTTCAGTATTGGATTATTCCCATTTCACAGGTGAGGAAACAGCCTTGGGGGTGAAAAGCCATTCATTGATCAGGGCCACATCCCAATGGGTTGGCCTTGTCTCGACTCCGACCTAGGGCCGGGGCAAGAATGGGAGATCTTGAGGCCCCCCAAGAGAACAGGGTCTGGCCTATTCCCATGGTGGCCCCAGGGCCCAGCACACAGTTGGCACTCAATAAGTGTATGATGGCTAAATGACGAGTGCCAAGCCCCGGGCACCCCCAGGTATGGGACAGCCCTTCAGCTTGATGTTTGGCCTATTTCCCTGCCAGAGTCCTGCCTCTGCCCCCTGTGGACGGATGCAGCCCAGGAATTCCAGCTACGCAGGCGGCGACTCAGGCCGGGAGCCCCAGGAGACCCCTGGAGCAGCTGGAGCAGCCCCGTGTGTGTCCCCCCTGGTGAGAGCACTCAGAGCCACAGGAACGGGGCAGGAATTAGAAATACAACAGTGGGGATTAGAAATAAGGTGGCAGGTGTTAAAAATAAGGCGGCGGGAGAAATTCATAGTAATTAATAAAAGGTGGCAGGGCAGGGCTCCTGGGTGGCTCAGTCGGTTAAGCGACTGCCTTCAGCTCAGGTCATGACCCTAGGGTCCTTGGGACCGAGCCCCGGCTTGGGCTCCCTGCTCAGCGGGGAGTTGGCTTCTCCCTCTGCCTCTGCCCCTCGGTCCCCCTACCCCCAACCCCCACTCATGCGCACTCTCTCTCTCAAATCAATAAATAAAATCTTAAAAAAAAAAAAAGGTTGTGGGGCAGTGAACGAGTTTCACTTTGTAAAATGTGGAGAATCCATAATCTAAAAAGAAACGTTTTCCAGTCTTTCTCTCCTTCCAATGTGTCCAGTTGGTTTTGCTCTTTTAAAGCCACACAGGGAGTTGGCAGGGGGAGACCACTGTGTCGAGAACACGTAGTTTCCCAAATGACACAGGAAGCTGGAGTTTGGGCAGCTCCGAAGTGGAGATGTGGCCCAAGAGGCAAGGAAGGATGAGGTAATTGTCAATATTTTGCCCCTGGCCTTGTGACCTGGGGTCTCCTCCGGCCCCAGTGCCATTATCTGTGGGAAACAACTCCAAGAGTTATTTTCAGACTTCAGAACAAAAATTGTAGTAGAAAATGCATAATATAAAATGTTCCACTTTAATCATTTTAAAGTGTAGGGTTTTTTTTTTTAAGACCTTATTTATTTATTTGAGAGAGAGCGCGCACGCATAGCAGGGGGAGGGGCAGAGGGAGAAGGAGAGAGAGAATCTCAAGCAGACTCCCCATCAAGCCTGGAGCCCGATCCCACAGCCCTAAGACCGTGACCTGAGCTGAAATCAAGAGTCCGATGCCTGAATGACTGAGCCACCCAGGCGCCTCTAAAGTGCACAGTTTTATGGAGTTAAGTATAGTCACGTTGTCATAGACTAGATCTCCATGTTTCCGATTTTGAAAATTATTTAATGACCCATGGGAATCCTGTGTTTCAAGGGAGGGAAGGAAAAGGCCCTGGGTCCCTGTGCGGGGTCTGCGGGAGGTGGCGGTGAGCAAGGGACAACCCCCAGCGTCACTGTCTTGCCACCCCATTGCAGAACATCCCCCAAAGCCCACCTTGAAGTTCTCGGTGGAGGCGCTCCGTCCACATGGGAGGAGGCAGGTCACCCTGCACGGGCAGGTAATGGGCCATCACAATGCTGTGGGGTGGCCGGAGATGGGGAGAAGGAGACAAGAGGCTGGAGTCGGGGTGTGCAAGTGGGATACGGTGAGGGAAGAGACGTGGAGGTGGCAAGGACTCCAGGAACTGTGGGTTTAACTCTGCAGTTAATGGGGAACAATGGAGGGTGTGTGAGCAGAGAAATATGACTGGGTTCAGGTGTTCACAGACTTCCCCTGGCTGCCATGGGGGGAACAGACTGTGAGGGGCCAGGGTGGAAGCAGGCAGGCTGGGGTGGGCCATGTTGGTCTGGGTGGGAGATAATTTCCTTGAAATCCCCCAAACAACCCATTAAGAGCAGTCTAATTAACCCCGTTTTACAGAGAAGGAAACTGAGGCACAGAGGGAAAATCTCTTGCCCAAGTCAGGGGCAAAACCATCAGATGTTTCACCCACTGGCTTTACCATAACTAACTTGGCCGGGTCCCTAATGGGCTGGCACAGTGAGGCTGAAGTAAAGCTTTACTTCCTGTCTTTCCTCTCATTTGAATTCCCTTTCTTAGGAAACATTTCCAGGCTTGAGGTAACTGGGTCCAAAGATAGAAAAAACATTTTTTTCCTGACTCTCGGTAGGTTTTGCCAAATTATTTTCCCTCCAAGCCAACATGCACTGGTCATGAATGCCTATTTCCCAGCAGTCTTGCCAGCACCACGGGTTTTGTTTTGTTTTGTTTTTAAAGATTTTATTTATTTATTTGAGAGAGAGAGTGAGAGAGAGCATGGGAGGGGAGTGGGTCAGAGGGAGAAGCAGACTCCCCACTGAGCGGGGAGCCCGATGCGGGACTCGATCCTGGGACTCCAGGATCACGACCTGAGCTGAAGGCAGTTGCTTAACCAACTGAGCCACCCAGGCGCCCGTTGTTTTGTTTGTTTTTAAAAAACTTTTGGCTCATGTCACAGACTGTGGTCCATGGATGAGTCTGTTCAGGGGCTGCACCCTGATGTTGACCCATGGGCATGATGACTGTGTTCAGGTCTCCACAAACCATCTCTCACATTCACGACAGCTGCCCCAGCTTGAGCTTCCAGAAGGCTGCCTCGGGTCCAACTCTGGCGGGGAGGTGACCTACCGTGCCCGCCTGCACATGCTGTCCTGCACGTGTAAGACCAAGTCCACAATGACCTTTCAGCTGAGGAAACCGCTCAATCTCTCTGGCGCGGCCTATGACCTGGCTGTTGTTTCCCAGAATCGCTTCGGCCCCGGCCCCAACCAGACGTGGCACATTCCTGCCCAAACCCACACCCACACAGGTGCCTCCTCTGGCCAGGGAGGGCTGCGGGAGGGCCTCTCAGAGCTCAGCACTTACTCTGAGCCTCCGCTAGACTAGGGTGAGGCAGGTGAGGCACAAAAATCAAACAGGTGTCGAATTTAGGAATGTGTCAAAATCACTAATTAAGGTACATACTGTTAAAATGCAATATTTTTTAAAAAACTCTAGCTGGCAAACTACAGCCCAGGCCAACCACCTGTCTTGGTACATAAAGTTTTCTGGGACCAGGGCGGGGATCAGGGTGTGGTGAGTGAGGCAGGATGGCGCAAGTACACGATTGATCCTATCTTCATTTAAAATCTTGATATTTGTTTGTTATGTATATGTATAGACATGCTTAAAGATGTACCTATATTTATAGATATGAGGAAAAAATCAAGACTTACATTTATGTATACATGCATGTGAATACATATACATATGTTATTGAGGTGAAATTCACATAGCAACATTAATCACTTTAGTAGGTACGACTCAGTGGCATTCCGGACATTCACAATGATGGGCAACCATCACCTCTGTCTAGTTCTAGAACATTTCTATCATCCCTAAAAGGAGACCCCATGCCCATTAGCAGTCACCCCCCGTCCTTTATCCCGGCCCCTGGCACCCACTAATCTGCTTTCTGTCTCTGTGGATTTGCCCGTGATATACATGGGATCACACACCCTGTGGCCTCTTTTTTTTTTTTTTTTAAGATTTTATTTATTTATTTGAGACAGAGAGAATGAGAAAGAGAGAGCACATGAGAGGGGGGAGGGTCAGAGGCAGAAGCAGGCTCCCTGCCGAGCAGGGAGCCCGATGCGGGACTCGATCCCGGGACTCCAGGATCATGACCTGAGCCGAAGGCAGTCGCTTAACCAACTGAGCCACCCAGGCGCCCATCCCTGTGGCCTCTTGTGACGGGCGTCTCTCACCCAGCGTCACGTTTTTGAGGTTCCCCCATGTCGTAGCGTGTGTCGGGGCTTCACTTCCTTTTCGTGGCTGAGTAACGTTCCACTGTGCGGATGAACCACGTGGTGTTTATCTGTTTTTCCATTAATGAACATTTGGGCTTTTTTCACCTTTTGGCGATTAGGAAGAGCGCTCATCACACATTTTTGCATTCATTTTTTGATTCTTAAAAAATATTGCATCGAAACAGTGTTTATCGTGATGACTGAGTTCTTTGGTGCCTCCAGTTTTGTGCCTGATGCGTGCCTCACTCACCTCACCCTGGTCCTGGGCCTACCGAGCACCCAGCAGTCCTGTGAGGACAGGGCTGGTACAGTGATGCCCATTTCAGAGATGAGACCACTGAGGCTCAGAGACAGAAAGCCCCTTGTCATGGTGGCACGGCCACGAGTCTGTCAGCTCCTGGCCCGGTTTGGGTCATGGCCCCACTATGTGACCGTGAGCCAGTGGCTCTCCCTCTCTGAGCCTCAGTTTCTGTATGATTGGGGGGCTCACGCTCCCACTTTGTAGCAGAGTGGCACCCGTCAAGCGCTCAGCACTGGCCTGGCGCATACAGCTGGTGCTCAATAAATGGTAGTTGTCCCTGGAATTGGAAACAGTGCCCGCCTCCCTGAGGTTGCCGATGCCCTTGCTGGAGGGAGCGGGGAGAGATGAGCCCTGGGGACCGAGTGGGTGTGTCCTCAGGCCACTGAGCTCTAGTCGGTCTGGGAGGCCCATCCTGCACCACACCCACCCGCCGCTGGGGGGGGGGGGCGCAGAAGGTGGGAGGCCGGGCATCTGCTAGAGCAGGAGATGCTCCCCGGGCTGGTGGGGCGGGGCGGGGGGCAGGGGGGAGGTGGGCAGTACAGGCAGCACAGAGGGTGGGCGTTTTGGCACGGAACTCACGGTCAGACCTAACTCATTCAAACCGCCCTTGCTAGCCTAACCCTGCCTCTGTGCCTGGCCCCCAGCCCGGCAGCCCCCAGGATTGAGGAGACGGAGCTAGATACAGAAACTCGCAGCCCTGTGGGGCTAGAGTTTGGCGAGAGGGTGGGATGGGGCTCTGGGAGCCTTGGACTGCGGCGGGCGTGGGGTGGGGCGCGGGAGGGGAGTGGAGCAGCTGTTCTGATGTGCCTCTCTCATCTGCTTCCAGAACCAGGGGCTCTGAATATCAGTGTGGGAGCCGATGGGACCACCATGCACTGGCCAGCCCAGGCCGGGGCCAAGGCATATTGCATTGAGTGGCAGCCCCAGGGCCAGGACAGGAACCTTACCAACTGCGCACTGACTCCGCCCCAGGACCCGGACCCTACCGGCATGGGTACCGTAACGTCAGTAGCCCCGCCTCTGCCTCCTCCCTTAGAGCCCCCGGTCGGCTCCAACCTATAGGGGCTGTGCGTGTGAGGTGCCTGAGGCCCAGAGCGGTCTTGCTCCTTGCCCGAGGTCACGCGGAGGTGGGAACCTGCCACCCATGCGGGTCTGAAGCCTCCTGCCAGTGTCCTGAGGCGTCAGGGCTCATAGCTCCGGGCAGATTGCACCCCAATAGGTAATGAGTTTCACATCCCAGGGTGTTTGTTAAACAGCCACCGGCGCCAAAGAAGGTGACAGCCCACAAGATGCTGGTGGCAAATTAATGAGGCCTCTGGAGAAAAAGGGGGAGCCTTAGAGCCCCGGCAGCCTCTCACTCTCCCACTGCCTACCCTGGGCCTGGCCAGGGCCCCCGGAAACCTCAGCCTCAGCCTGGCCCTTGACGGGTTCCTAGACTTGGGAGCCAAGAGCTGGATCCAGACGCACCTGGCCCCGTAGAGTCCGGGCTGGGCTGCAGGTGGGAGATGGGCTAAGGGGAGAATAAGGAAGGGATCCTGGAAGAGGGGACATTGGTGCAAGGGCTTTGAAGCATGGGCAGGAGTGCTCTAGGAGTTCCTGGCATGCGGTACGGCCAGTGCAAAGAGGCGGAGGTGGAGATACAACCTATTTACCGGCCTGGGCCTTGTCAATCCTTCTAGCAACCTACAGCTGGAGCAGAGGACCTATGGAGCAGAAGGTGTGTTACCACATCACGATCTTTGCCTCTCCACGCCCAGAGAAGCCCATCTCGTGGTCCACAGTCTTGTCCACCTATCACTTTGGGGGCGATGGTGAGTAGCCCACACCTGCAAGGTGGTCTCTCTGGAGGGCTTGGTGGTGGCCTTGGGTGTCGGGAGGAGGGAACGAACACTTAGAGGCCCTTACTCTGAGTCAGGCCTTGGCCAGAAGCCAGGCGTGCGGAAGTCCCAGGGGATCCCGAAGACAGCCCCCCCCAGCCCCCGCCCCAAGCGGCATTGCCCCATTTCATAGATAAGAAAAGTGAGTCTCAGAAAGGGGCAGCGATGGGGCCTGAGTCGTGGAGCTGGGATTCAAACCCAGGCCCGCCTGACTCTGTTGCCAAGCTTCCCTGGGTCTCTGGATGGTGCCAGGCTGGGCAGGCAAGGAAACGTTCAGCCAGTGCTCTTGGAATTGACCATGGCAATAGTGCTAGTTGCAGCCTCGGGGGCCGGACGCCCACAACACGTGTTGGTGAAGAAGCTCAGCCAGGACTCCGTGTCTGTGGACTGGACACCATCCCCGCTGAGCACTTGCCCGGGGGTCCTGAAGGAGTACGTCGTGCGCTTCCAGGATGAGGAGGGCAACCTCATGTCTGGTACGTGAGGCAGCGCGGGCCGAACGGGGGGAAGAGGGGGCCTGGGGTCGATGTCTGCCTTGCTAGGGGACCCTGAGCACCTCACGGGCCCTCTCTGGGCCTTGGTTTTCCCACCCATAAAACAAGAGTTGTTCGACTCAAAGAGGCCAGACTGCCCTTTCCGGACCCCCAGGAGGGCCCAGTGGGCAGCAGCTGTGGGCTCACAATGGACTCCGTGTATGGATCACAACCCCTCGTGCGAATCGGCAACTGGACTCCCATGGAGCGGGATGATGGTGTCCATTTCACAGATGGGGAAACTGAGGCCTGGAGAGGGATTCCTGCCCCCAAGGGTTAAGCAAGCCTGGATTTGGGCTCAGTCAGGTGCTCCTTCCTGCCCCTTGGGAGGGAAAGAAAGCAGAACGTACAGGGCAAGTCTCACCAGTGCTGGGGTTTCCTGTCGTTTCACACACTGGGGGCTCCACCTTCCATGCGGGGAACACAGTCTTTTGGATACGGCCTCACCCAGGCACCTCCTGCAGCAACAGGCCAGGCCAGCAAGACCTGCCTCTTCGAGTCTCTGCCTTCTCACCAAGCACCCAGCACCTGTCAAGGCATGAATGCCGGGGGGGGGGGCTTGCTGGGGGGATGCTCTAACCTCAGAAACACAGACATCCTGCCATCTGCTTGACCACCCATTGTTTAGAGGGGGTAAAGGAAGCCAAGTGGGGTTCAGTGTCTTATTCAGGGTGGCGCAGCTGGAAGCAGCCCTTTTACCGATTTGTCGTAAGTCAAAATGCTGAAGATGAATGCGCCAAATGCCCATTGGCCAAATTGACCAATCCTCCTCCCCCCTCCCCCCGCTCCAATTTCTTTTGAAGAATATTCCTCTTGAATATATGTATATACGAAGAATATAGACCTAGGGTTCTAGGAATTGTTTTCTTCTTGATAACAGCCAACAACTGTATTCTCATTTTAAGGATTTTTACGGAGAGCTTTATTTGTTAAAGCCATCCAATTCCACAGCGTGTGTTGAGGTCCTGCTGTGTGCTGAGGTTGTAGGGACACTGAGGAAGCAAGATAGGCAAAGTTAATGCTGATCTTCACCCTAAAGACGGGAAGAAAGAGAGGGAGGAAACCATGGGGATATCTGGGGAAAGGGTGAGCAAGGTAGAGGAGGCGGACTGCCAGTGCAAAGGCCCTGAGGTGCGACTGAACCTTTAGGGAGCTTGGACGATGGGGCTGGGTCCGGGAGTGAGCCAGGAGCCAGCAGAGGTCAGAATTTGAGGAACATAGCATCATTCACTAAATAGTTTGGGGAAGAATATTCCTCCAAATAAGTTGAGGTGAATGGGTGCATTCAGAGTTTTCAGCAGGGACGCCTGGCTGGCGCAGTCGGTTAAGCATTCCACTCTTGGTTTCGGCTCAGGTGGTGATCTCAGGGTCATGAGATCGAGCCCTGCCTCAGGCTCCACACTCAGCGCGGAGTCTGCTTGAGATTCTCTCTCCCTCTCTCTCTGCCCCTCCCGCTCATGCTCTCTCTCTCTCTCTCTCAAATAAATAAATCTTAAATTTAAAAAAAAAAGAATTTTCAGCAAAATGTGCTTGAGTCCCCACTACCACTCCCAGGGTGTGGCTGCCCAGCCAGGACCTGGGCATCCCACCCCTGAGCCTGGCCTCCTGGGAGTAAAGGGAGTCTGGGGACCCAGGGCTGCCTCCCTCCCACAGAGCTGCCCGTGAAGCCCACAGAGACCCAGGTCACCCTTGGTGGCCTTCGGGCTGGCACAGCCTACACCGTGCAGGTTCGAGCAGACACAGCGACACTGCAGGGCGCCTGGAGTCAACCCCAGCCATTCAGCATCGGTGAGTAGGAGAGCAGGGCCTGGGTATGTACCCAGCATGCACTGCCCCATCCCGAGCCTCCGCAGGCAGCCCCGCCCTGGCCCTGCTCCCCATGTATCTCCCACAGGAGAAGGTCCCAGCCCACTCTGCTCCCCCCTCCTTGTGCAGTTTCCCCTCAGAGACCTTCTCTCACACTCCCATTGCCTTGCCCATGCAGGCCCCTCTGCCTGGGATGTTTGTTCTCCCCGCTAACTCCTATTCATCCTTAAAACTCAGCTCAAAAGCTTCCTCCTCCAGGAAGCCTTCCATGCTTTCCCCTGGGTGCCCACCCTCCCCTCCCCCCGCCCCTAGCTGTGACAATCCTTCCTTCCTGGCCTGACACCTTGGGAGTGGGTGAGGGTGTCTGTGTCCAGCCTCTGCCTCCCCCAGCCTGGGGGGCTCCAGGGGAGGGGGAGGGGGCCGGGGGCCATTTGTTGAGTGAATGAATGAATGAATATGAATGAATGAGTGTCTCTCTTGTCACAAAGATAAGGAGGTGGGCTCCGCTGTCTTGGGGTGTGTGGCCAGAAGATATTTGGAAACCAAATGATCCCTATTCCTGCCATGGTCCTTTCCTGTTGCCCTTATAGAGCAGTCGGGTCTCAAGAGAACCAGTGAGTCAGGCTTGGCATGGGGTGGCAGGTCTGGGTCCAGGGGAGCAATCACGTGAGCACAACCTGCGGGCACGTGGAGCTACAGTGTCCTGAGCCCTGTGCGCCAGGCCTTTATCCTGCAGATGCGGGGCAAGTGGGTTCCCTGGCCTTCTGCTTCACACATGAGGAGCCAGGCACAGAGGGACCCACGGCGTGCCATGGTCAGCAGGGAGTTGCTGGAGGGTCCCAGCAACTCCTTCCCAGCTCCCTTCCCCGTGAGAGGCAGCAGGGGTCCCTCCCCCAGTTCAACCTCTCCCACTCCCAGAAGTCCAGGTTTCCCGGTTGTTCGATTTGTCCATACTCCTCGTATCTCTGGGGAGCTTCGCCAGCATCCTTCTCCTGGGCGTCGTTGGGTACCTCAGCCTGAACAGGTAATTTGCACCATCTCCCCCAAGATGATCCGTAATGGCAATAGTGATCATAGGAACTGCTCACACTGAGTCGGTATTTGTGCCCAGTTTACAGATGAGGAAACTGAGGCCCAGAGAGTCAGGCCCAAGGTATCCAGCAGTGGGGGCAGAGCTGGGATTTGAACCCAGGTCTGTCAGACTCCCGCACCTCCCACCCCCAATCCACATCCATTCTCCCTTTATAACCTAGCAGAGATGAAAAGAGTAAGTCAGAACAATTAAAAAGTAAGAACAGAGAGAAAACACTGCTCCTCTGACCAGCTTCCTCCCCTCCCCAGGGCTGTGCGGCACCTGTGCCCACCCCTGCCCACACCCTGCGCCAGCACTGTGGTCGAGTTCCCTAGCAGCCAGGGCAAGCAGGTAAGGGCTCCTTTTCTAATTTAAAGTCCTATTTCTTGGGTCTATATTCTGGGCAAGAGTAATGGCCATGCGTTAACTCATTTTCTTCTCCCCTAACCACTGACACAGGGACTCCAAAACCCTGTCCTATTTCACAGATAGGCAAGCAGAGGCCCAGAGAGGAACCTCCTGTGGGTCATTTCCTAGCAGTAGAAACAACTCAAAATGGCTTCAACAAAACGGGAGCCTGATGGGGGATGGGGGGTGGATTCCCCAGACGGTGGGCTTCAGGCATGGCTAGGTCTAGGAATCCAGAGACTGGGCATCCATTTGTCTGGACTGCTGTTCTGCCTGCAGGCTTCCCTCCCACTCAGGCTCAGCCTTTCCCCAGTGGAAGAAGGGTGTCCATTGTCCCCATTCACTTTAGCAAAAGTCTCAGGGCCATCACCGATAGGCCTAGTGGGGTCACATGCTCATCGGAGCCTATTGTGGGTATCAGGGGCTAGAGGGCTCTGATTGGCTGGGCCAGGTCACACGTCCATCACTCAACTTGTGGTGGGGCCAAGGCCCAACCACATCAACAGTGAGAAGAGGAGCAATGATTTCCCAAAGAGAAATGGGGTGTGTGTGAGGGTGGGGGTAGGGGGGCTTCCTAAAAGGGGATGAAGGGGGGGGTGTCATTGAGGCAGAGCTGATCCTCAAATTGGTCTCAGGATTTTAGGGAATTAAGCCAGCAGGAACCTGATCTGCCCCTTGTGTGGTTGGAAAATAGAGCCCTGCCCTGAGCCTTGGCCCCACCCTTCCTATCTAGGCTTGGCAGTGGGCAAGCCCCGCAGACTTCCCAGAGGAGGTGTCCCTGAAAGAGGCCTTGGTGGTGAACACGTCCTGGGAAAAAGGTGAGGGAACTGACCTGGACACACCTGCTGGGGAGGTGAAGACAGAGCTCCTTCGGGGCACTCCTGAACTGGCTTTGGACACAGAGCTGCCCCTGGAGGACAGGAGACAGGTGCAAAGCCACCCTGAGACTCTGGCTCTGGGGCCAGGCAGGCAGGAGGGTCTGGAGGGCAACCCTGCCCAGGTGGCTGGACTCTCACTGCCCTTGGGAGACCTGATACAGACCCCCATATTCAGGGGCCCTTCGCACGTGGGCCTGGAGGCCTGAGGGAGAGAGGGGGAAGTCGGCCTCCTCCTTCAGGCAGGAAGACGGAAGGCGGCTGGTTATTAAGCAAACATTGCATACCCAGCCTGTTCCATCTAGACACTCACGTGATGTCCTGATTCCCCGTAACCACCTCGAGAGGTACATGGCTATCCTACTCTACAGATATGACCACTGAGGCTCAGAGAAAGCAAGTGGCTAGCCTGAAGCTAGGGCAGCACAGGCAGGAGTCAAACCTGGGCCGAGTGACCCAGACCCCATTTCCCCGTCCCGGCCCCTCCCCTCCGGCCAGCACATATTGTGCCACAGCCCCTTGGTGGGAACCCAGGAACCACCATGAAAAGGAAGCCGCCACACCCCCTGACTGCCATGGGGAATAGACTGGAGGGGGGACCCAGAGGGGGGCTCGTGCTGATCCTAGGACCCTAGGCTGGATGTTGTGGCCCAGGAGCACTCGACGGGGAGTCCGGGCACAGAGCTCTGTTTCGCTGCAGGGTCCAGCCCCGGAGGAGGATCTAGTCGTGGGAAAACAAGAGGGGCCCTAAGCGTTCTGAGGGAGGTGCTGGCCCCTCCTCAGCCTCAGTCTCCTCCCCCGTAGAATGGGGGTGAGGATAATATTGAACTCGCAGGTCTGTCGAGAGGGGTCTACGGCTTAATAAATGGGCCTTCTGTTGCGTAACTTTCCCCTGGCTGAAACCTGCACGGACTGTTCAAAACCCCCCAGTAGGGGAGTTCATTCATTCATTCCACACGCATTTATTCATCTCTCCCTTTGGGCGCCCCCAGGAGCACCCGGTCTGGGGGAGACAGAGCGGGATGATCACTCGGAGCTCCGCAGAGTCAGGACTGGGCAAGGGGAGCGACGGCCCGAGAGGGTGTGTTTTGTCCCCCCAAAACAGGAGCCTTGGTTCTTCCCCCCGCTCCGCCCCTCTTAGGGGTCCATCGGCCCTCCGCCCAGGGCTCAGGTCGGGAATTGGGGTTCCCCCTTTCTCCTGACACCCAACACCCCACAGCAAGAACGCGTGCCCCCCATTCAGCCCCGGAATCTGCCCTCTTCCCGTCCTCTTCCTCCCCGAGCTCCTCCCATTGTTAAACGAGTCGTCTCGGATTCCCCCCGTGGCCACCAGGTGGCAACAGCAACACGCGTCTCCCAGGCCTAGACCGGGTGCGGGGGGGGGGGGACCCTCCCCCCGCCGCCCGCTGCGGAGCTTGCAAAACAGACTTTTCCGGTGTTAAGTGGGGGCGGGAGGGGGAGGGAGGGGTGGAGATTAGAACCCAGAACCACTGGGTTGTGGCAAAAGGACCTGAAGCCTCTGGGTGAGAGGGGTCTGGCCCCACAGGCTGGGAGACTAGAGGTCCAGGCTCCGCCCCTTTGGGGGGCCCCAGTTTCCCATATATGCATCTAGATGGGGAGACAGAAGCCTTGGCCTCAGTGACTGCTCCCTGTTCCGCGCATGCTCCCTCCCTTGAATTTGCCACCTCCCTGCCAGGCAGGCCTTTCCTTGTGAATCAGTTCTCATTCTTTGGTGGCAGGACCAAGTGGGTAGACAGGAAGGGATGCTGGGTCAGCGGCCTCATAAAAAAGACCGGAGTGACCTGAGCCCCTGGCTCAGAACTACCCCCTCAAGTCCAGGACCCCACACCCACCCCTACCGCCCCTGTAAAACCTCCAGGAAAGCAAAAAGCCCCCATGTAGGCTGCCCCAGTCCTGGGCCCACACAGAACAACAGAACCCTGTTTGGTGGACCCTGGAGTTAACAAACCCACACCTAGGCACAGCCCCCTGGGTCCAAGGAGTAGGAGATAGACATTTATTGAGCCCTATCTGGAACTCTTGCGGTTGTGAATGGGGAAGATAGACACCTTGCTTCCACGGGGGTGGGGGTGGGGGGGGTGGGGGGGTGGAGAGGGAGGCTGAAACTGCCTTGGGAAAGAAGCTTTCAGGGAGGACAGGAGCCCAAACAGATGGCTCCCTCGTCCCTGGATCCAGCCATGCCTGAAGCCCACCATCTAGATCTATATCTATCTATCTATCTATCTATCTATCTATCTATCTATCTATCTATCTATCTATCTATCTCTATATATCTATATCTATATCTATCTATATCTATATATATCTGGGAGACACCCCTCTGGGTCTCTGTTTGCCTGTCTATATAATAGGAAGGGGTTCAGAGCACTGGTTTGGGGTCCTTACCTCAATGGGTTGAGCAACCCTGCTTAGCGGAGCCCTGGCCCCATGTTTTTTGAGCACCTGCGGTGTACTCATTACTCTAGGGCCCTCTGAATGTCCATCCCTCAGCTCCTCCCAGAAGCTCCAGGAGTCAGGACTGTAGTAGACCCCATTTCACATCTGTATTCATTCCTTGATTTGTGAAGTCAGTGTTGAGCACCTACTGTATGCCAAGCCCTGTCCTATACAGGTCGGAATCAGTTCTGTCATGAGGGGCTTCTGGTGGGGTGAGGAAGGCAGACGCTAATCTAATCACCATACAGGGAGTTACAATAACCCCGAGAGAGTGACGAGCGAAAGTGTGAAGAACAGTGGGTGAGAGAGGGCTTCCTGGAGGGGGTGATATCAAGATGGTGAGGGGAGGTCAGCAAAACGAGAGAGCAAAGGCCCTGAAGCAGATGTGGTTGATGGGGAAGTGGGTGAGCCAGGGGGATAGAGGTCACTACTGGGGCCGAGGGGGTTTATTCCTAGGCTGGGGGGGGGGGTGTCCTGGAGCAGGATTGTTGAGGCCCAATTTGTGAGTTGTTCAAAGATTCTTCCTGCTGCTGTTGAGAGGAGCAGGTGACTCAGCCTTACTGACCTCAGTGTTCTGGTCTGTAAAATGGATAAGGAGGTCTCTCCAGAGCCCTTAGCCCCTTCTCACTCCCTCTCCTCTGTCTCTACCTCTCTTAAGTCTTATCAGAGAGAGAGGCTGCCTCAGTTTACCTCCCCAGATACCTCCCTCCTCTATTTCTCCAGTGGCCTCTGGGTTTGGTCAGAAAGAAACATTGTCTCTGTCTCGGCCCTCGAGCCAGGATGGGGCTGCGGTATCAGTGGCCCCCGGGGACCCTGGGCTGTGGGAGATGACACACAGGACAGCCGTGGTCTGGCCTCTCACACATAACTGCCCGAGCCCTGCAGATGACAGGGATGCCCTGCCCCCAACTGTGCGCCTTTGTTCATTCCTCCTTTTTTTGTTTTTCCGTGGTTTTTTTTTTTTTTTAGAGATATCCACATACCATACAAATCACCCTTGCAAAGTGAACAATTCCGTAGCATTTGATGTATTCCCAATGTTGTGCAATCACCGCCTTTGTCTAATTCCAGAACATTTTCATCACCTCAAAAGGAAACCCTGTGCCCATGAGCAGTCACTCCCCCTCCTGCCTCCCCCAGCCCCTGGCAACCACCAATCTGCTGTCTCTATGGATTGGCCTGTTGGGACATTTCCTATCCAGGGGATCACACAGCACATGGCCTTTGTGTCTGTTCTTTTGTGGAAGAAACAGCATCATGTTTTTGAAGTTCATCCCCGTTGTAGCATGAATCAGAACCTCATTCTTTTTTATGGCTGAATAATATTCCACTGCGTGGATGGATCCCTGTTTATTTCTTCATTCATTCCTTGATGGGCACCCCGGGGGGTTCCACCTTCTGGCGATTGTGAGCAATCGTTTCCGCTGCTGTGAGTATGGTTTACAGGCTCTGGTGTGAACACCTGTTTTCAGTTCTCTTAGTATCTGCCTAGGAGTACAAATGTTGGGTCATAGGGTAATTCTGTGTTTAACTTTCCTTCTTGAGGTGCTGCCGGATTCCCATCAGCAATGTGTGAGGGTTCAGATTTCCCCACATCTTCATCAATACCTGTTATTTCCCTTTTGGGGGGGCGGGGAGCCATCCTAGGGTGAGGTGGTGTCTCACTCTGATCTGATTTGCCTTTCCCTGAGGACTGCTGGTAGTTGAGCACTTTTTCATGTGCTTATTGGCCATTTATTATATCTTTGGAGAAATCTCTCTTTGAATCCTTTCCTTATTTTGAATTGGGTTATTTATCTTTTTATTATTGAGTCCTAAGAGGTCTTTATATAGTCTGGATATTGATCCCTTGTCAGATTTGTAAATATTTTCTCCCACTCTGTGGGTTACCCCTTCACTGTCTTAAGAGTGTCCTTGTAGAGGGGCACCTGAGTGGCTCAGTCGGTTAAGCATCTGCCTTCGGCTCAGGTCATGATCCCAGGGTCCTGGGATCGAGCCCCGCATCGAGCCCCGCATCGAGCCCCGCATCGAGCCCCGCATCGAGCCCCACATCTGGCTCCTTGCTCTGCAGGAAGCCTGCTTCTCCCTCTCCCACTCCCCCTGCTTGTGTTCCCTCTCTCGCTGTGTCTCTCTCTGTCAAAAAAAAAAAAGTGTCCTTGTAGAAAGAAAAACACATTTTTTTTAATTTGATGGAGAATTCATCAAATTCTTGTTCCTTTGGTTGCTTGTGATTAGGTGTCATACCCAAGGATGCGCCTGGTCTTCGCGCATCTCTCCCATCCTCCTACCCCCGGCGCCTCCCTCTGGTCCGCAAACCCCCTCCCATTGGCGTTGGGGCATCTGCGCCCTAGTCCCCCAACCGCGAGGCCTCCCGGGCAGGCACCCAGCCGCCTCCATCAATGTTTAATAACGAACGGAGCGCACGGAACCTTGGCACCGACGTGGGAAACCCCTCCCGGAACCACCTGCCCCTTGGCGCCCCCTGTGGCCGCGCGTGGGGGTCGCGACCGCGCTGGGCCCCACTGTCTCGGTGGACCGAGCAAGACCCGGGCGGGGTGGGGTGGGGGAGGCGGCACTTGCTGGCCCGCGTGCTGGGACGAGGGCGTGGGTCGCGCCCTGAGTCCTCCCCACCCTGGCCGGGAGCTGCTCCTGGCTCCCCGCCCGTCCTGGGCTGACCCTGCCGGCGGGAACCGCCTGCTACCGCGGGGCCACTCCTGCCGAAACCAAAACACCCAGGAGGAGGGAAG